GGCCTCAGGCTGGGCCAGGGCAGGCTCAGCTGGGACAGCAGCAGCAATTTCCCCATGGAAAGGGTGCTCAGGCCCTGGCAGGGGCTGCCCAGGGAGCTTTGCAGTGCCCATCCCTGCAGGTGTCCCCTGGAGGTGGCACTGAGTGCTCTGGGCTGGGGACAAGGTGGGCATGGGGCCCAGCTTGGGCCTGATAATCTTGGAGGTCTTTTCCAACCTCAGTTACTCTGTGATTGAATTTGGGAGCTTTTTCAGAGTCAGATAAAAATTAAACTTGGTGAGCGAGCAGTGAAGGGAGGTTGAAAAATAAGAACTGCATTTGAAAAGGCATTGCAAAATAACATTTAATATTAATAGAAGAATTACATTCATTTATGGTATGGGATACACAACCATCACTTAATGCTCTACACTTCAAGTTCTGCTGCTCTTCAGCAGTTTACCTTGGTTGCACTTCCTAATTTTTTTCTTTCAGGAAAATGAAATCCTGTAGAATATTTCCAAGTCTCCCTTTGAGCACTGTGGCCCTGCTGTGTCGGAGCTGAAGTGTCCTAAAGACAAAGCTGAGCTTGGTTAGACTGAAAAGCAAAATCACAGCAAAGCAAAAGAATTTCCTCTCCTGTAACAGGAGAGGATGTCTGGAATTCCAGGCAAAAACCTTTCCAGATTCATGGACAGCCAGGTTGTTCTGCTCAGAGCAGGGCAGCCCTGCTGTGGCTCCCCAGTGGATTTATCAGTAGGAGAGAACCACAGTTAGTCCCACATGGAAAAGTAATAAATTTATGGAATAAAGGAATCAAATATTCCCCTTTGGGCCTGTGGAACTGTGCCCCTCCAGCACTCAAACAGGACTTCTAGTTAAAGCCCTTTCCTCCTTTTTCACATGTTATTTATAATTAGAATGCTTGGATACTAAATTGTAAAGAACTTTTTCTTCTGAAGTGGAAGGATTCTGCAAGTCCCTTAAATGTCTGGTAACATTGAAAGCACTTTGATGGCAAAAAGTTGTCTTAGATTTTTTAACAGATAGAATCATGGAATCCTGGAATGGTTTGGGTTGGAAGGGAGCTCAAATCCCACCCAGTGCCACCCCTGCCATGGCAGGGACACCTCCCACTGTCCCAGGCTGCTCCAGCCCCAGGGTCCAACCTGGCCTTGGGCACTGCCAGGGATCCAGGGAAATCTGGGAATTCCATCCCAGCCCCTGCCCGCCCTCACAGCAACATCCCATCTAACCTTACTCTCCTTTATCAGCATTTTAAGGGAAATATCCAAGTATGGAATGCAACCAAAAGGAAACTGGAAGTAAAAGTACCAAACCATCCTGAGTATTCTGATTATCCATAAAAATTATTGAAGGTAGGTAGGAAATGAACACCAACATCTGAACAGTGGCCCGCTCCAATATTCAAGTTATGCTTTCAGAGGGTCACTTTTCACTTGTGCTCATTCCAACAGCATTAGAGAACATCAATAAATTATATTAATAGAAATAATTCACATTCTTAATGACCACACCTCAGTCCACCACTTTCCTTCACTGTAAAAATGCAAAGGATTTAAATAAGTTTGGCACAAGCCTGTTATGGTGCTATCCTTGTACAGTGTCCCAGTGTGAGAATAAAGGATGTTTCATGATTTTAGTTTATAAACCCAAGATGAAAATCTCATACATCTGTACCTAAAACCCACTGCAGAGAAGCCTCCCTTGTTTGTTATGGGAGTTTGGGAAAAAGAAATCCTTGATTCCCAACCAAATTTTTCCCATGTCTTTTT